TAACAAAAGAAAGCATTTGCCTATATGCAAAACAGACTCTTATTTCTGGATTTGTCCCCTTTGAACTGGATTATGATATATAAGCAGAAAACAACTGTTTTTAATTAAAAAAAAAAAAAGGAAACATTTGTCCTTGGGGGAAATGCTTAAACTATAATAGATGCACAATCTTAAAATCTATCTTGAGGATAAAAAGATGAGGTAGCTATATGCGCATTAATAAGATTTAAATACATTGCTACAACTACATTTCAACACAAAGAAAGCAGGTTTGCAAATATTGTTTGTAGTTTCTAAAAACATAGTACAGATATAAGACAATATGTAGACTTTCATATATAAATGCATAGGAAACAAAATGTTTATATCTGAAGAACTAGAAAGTAGAAATCACTCAGGGAGAGTAACGAAAACTCATATATGTAGAATCTGAAATTTTTTATAGTAAGAATATTTTGTTCATAAATTACTGAATAAAATAACAAAACAAATTAAAAGTCATTATACATTACAGTATTCTTGTTACCAAAATGATAAAGGGAATTTAAAAAATTTTTCTTAACGATTTATTTTTATTTATGCATGCAAGAGCTGGGTGTAGGTCAGAGATGTAGGGCAGGTGGTGAGAGGATTCACCGGAAACAGAGTGGAGAACAGAACAGGGAGATTGACTGAAAAACACTGCTGAGGGGAGCAGCGGGCGAGACAGGAGAGGTCTGCTGTGCCATGTGGCGCACCTCCCTGGCCGGGGGATTAAGCTCATGCTGCAGTGTCTGTGATAGCTTCAGTGTGCTCAGACTTTGTCCTTTGTGCCACGTAGGAGGCCCAAAATTTCTTTTTAATAATACAAAACATTTTTATAGTTCTATGACATGTTATGTGCCGTATGACTCCTCTCCCTGCCCATGTTAGTCTAAGCTTTTGTGATGCTGACAAGCTACCTCAAAAACATAGTGGCAACAATTCTCATTCTAAGTTTACATAATGAGATATAATATAATAACAGATTTATTACCAAGATGAAGACAGAATGAATCTAAGTTTTATTAGCTATCTGACCAATCTTATTGGATAGGTGACAAATTCTAAATAGAATAAAATCTCAGTATGGCAGAACTCAATAAAGGATAAAGGTGACATACAGTTTCTTTCTAATTTGAGCAGTGATGGAGGTAGCCGTTTGTACAGAGAGCAATAACCAAATCTGACAAATTGAAAAGTTCAGAAGCAATTAATGTTAAAGTCACCTCGGATTCTGAGTCACTGTCCTGTTTCTCCTCTTCATCTTTCCCGAGGAAGAATGTCAACGCAGCAACTAATATCTAAAAACCAATCAGAACAAAATCAGTTACTATTAAACCCAGTTTACAGTGGACAATAAAAACTTTTGTCTCTACATACAAACATTATCTGAAGAAAAAAATGAGAGGTGGGACTTGGGCTAATTTTTCTTAATTAGAGTATAATATTTTGTGTTATATATACATATATATCTTTAACTAGATAAAAGGAGCCAGGCTCTACATAGATGTTACCCTTAAGAAAATGATCACGAATTTCTATATGCTCACAAGAAAAGTGATATTACAACCTTCTTACAAGAAGTCAAACATAGTCCTTAAATTTCTTCCAGCTGTGCCAGAGTCCAACAAAAGAGTAACAATGATGTAAGGGTGAAAGTTACTGTTTAATGCTGAACATTTTAAAAAGTCAAGAGAAACTGTAAGAAAGGAAACTAGACTTCTGGTGTATAATGTAGGCTACACAGACAATGAACTCTAATGGTATAGCTGAAACCAATATGCTGCTTTATAACAACGTTGTGTCAATAAGATATTAAAATCTGTCAGTCATAAACTTTCCTCCTTTTCATTTTTGAAAAAAGAAATTATGGTAATTTTGACTCTTCTAAAGCAGAAATGATCCAGGGAAAGTACCTAAGCACAAAGAAACCGTTACTAAACATGAATGCGTGTCCACACAGAACATCTTCACTTTCTATCCAGAGAATAAATAAAGTCTTCACATGACCTTACAGATACCTTGGTAATCTTCGAGAAACACGCAGTCGTGATCACATTGACAGTTTTGGCATCATTCCTGGGGAGAGACAGTGTGTAGTTTCAAGTAAATTTCTTTTCTAGTGTATTTCATAACATAGATAATGGCATAAACAGTATTTTGACAAGTGAGAGTT